TCTTTGAAAATATCTCTGCACCTCCAACAACACAGTTTACTGTTGTTTACCTTCGTAAACAATTCGTTGACGAGTCGCTGACAAAATTTCATCTGTTCAGTTTGTTTTCCTTTAAAACGTGGCTTCAACTGATTATAATCAATAAAGTAATTTGGTTTTTTGGGTGGTCGGCCAGATTCTCGACGAGTTGCAATTTTTGCACTTACAACATCATCACCAAATGACGTTGTTGTATCTGCTTTCCGTTTGACGCCTTTCTGAACCTAAAATTAGTTAATATACATTTTGATGAAGCCTTCCTTCGCACTGTCAAAAATAAACATTAAAATATCCTTACTAGCTACAAAAAATTATCGAGAGAAATTGCAGTTGATATCGTTCAGATCAAAACAAAAGTTTTACGAAACGAAGAATAGAGAAATTATCAAAGCAAAAAACCTTCGAAGGAAGAACAGGCTGAACAGGCGCTTGCGATGATGTTGGATGAATATCGTCTACAGTAGATGCAGTAGCATGAACAGCTCCATTTGCTGCAGCATCCAAAATAGATGAACTGTCGGCAGCTCCACGCTGTACAGAAACAGACGATTCGCGGCTTCCTGGAATTGAAATTTACAAACCATTAACTACGAAAAAAATATAATTTGAAATTACCAAATCGTAAAACTGCATGAAAACAATCACCTCCTTTAACGACTGCAATACGACCGGTTGATTTCTTCGATTTGCCAGCAGCTCGCTTAGCTGTTGGACGCGGTATTTCCACCTCCTAAAATAAAGAGCTCATAGATATTAAGGCAACACAAATAACGAAAAAACATCACAGAGAAAAAAAAAAAAAAAAAAAGAAAAACATTCACAAACCTGTGGAATACTGCACGTATCGCACAGTGTGAAAGTTTCAAAAATACCTGAGACGGCAGTAGTTTCATTTTTTCCCTGTACAAATTTTCGACATTCTTGCACATAAGTGATACATCGTCCTCATTTTGGTTGAATTTGTAGCAGTTGGAAAAAATGGACTCAAAATCCTGAAAGCTACCAAAACAGATGTACTGAATAATTTAAAAAGCCTTACTTCCGGGGGCATCGCTGCGAGTTTGCTGAGAATGTACTGTTCCAGGTTCTTCGCCATCATATAAACCCCGTACTCAGGAGGGTTGTACGTGTAGCAATTGTTGAACATTGTCATAACGTCCTGAACAAAGAGAACCGCGCTTAGCTGCTAGCTATTTCAAGCTTTAAAGTGGCAACAGTTTTTGCATAAAAAGTATTTTAAGCTGCAACAATTGCCATCCACTCCCAAGCAAACACAACAAACTATACAAAATAGATTGCATGTATTCCTAAAGACATACATGGTTTTTTTCTTAACAATTTGTGGTTCGAAAAGAAACCCAAGAAGTATTTGTACGCTTAAAATATCTTATTTCTAGGATTGTCACCACCAAGCATTTACAAAAAACGAACCCATAAAAGAATCCACCAATACGTAGCACGAAAAAATGGAAAATTTAGTCAGGACTGAAATTTGAAAGGCCGAAAATATTCCATTCTGCGGTCAAATCTCACTATTAATTTTCTGGTTCATATATTCGATAATTTCTTACACAAATACATGAAACCAATGTTGGCAAAACTCTCCCAATTTCTGTTTCTAATGCCATCTCTTTTCCACCCCAATGTTTGGTCAACCCTCACCGAATTACTATCATAATTTAAATTTACCGTCGGAACAATTCTGAGAACTGAATATAACAAACATTGGAATAGAATGCATTTTTCGATTAACATTTGCTACCAGAGAAATACCTAGGCTTCCACATTTAGCAGGAAGTCATATATTGCAAGGAAAATACAAAAAGTTCCAGAATCGCAAAATATGTTATGAAAGAAAGTGGCCTAGACCTCTCTGCTTCCACTCCTTATTCCATATCCCCTTCGCAAGTCCAGTAAGGGTGCAAATCTAAGAGCACAATAAAAATTCCACCAAATAATGTTTTATGAAGAAACTAAATACTGCCTTATCGCCAGTGTCGGTGGTTTTCCACACCCAGGGTGCCCAACTTACAAAACAAACAAAACCATGCATGTTAGGCAATTGGTAGCATATATTTAGTGCAACTACTAGAACTACAGAGACTAAAGTGCCTTCAATATTACCGTGATGGCATGCAAAATTCAATCATTCTATAACTGTTTATAAACTCCCATGATTCTAATTGACACACTGATAACGAATAGTGGTTTTTCTTATTCACGAATGTTAATTTTCAAATCAGATTCAGTCAAAAATAAGAGTGAACAAGAAAAAAAAAAAAAAAACGCAACTCTGTTTCATTAACTTATAGACAACTCGGTACTACTTTTAACTCGAAATCAAAAACTATATAACACTGCTCATTCAATCAAGCTTCCAACATCCGAGCTATTAAAAAATTCAAAATGTGTCATTACACGGTCAGATGCATATATTCCAGTGGAAGCGGTTCTCTCCGTGAAAGTGAAAGTTCTTATGCATTCCTAGTCCCTTCTCTTTCCAGAATTATACAGTTTTGATTCCCAATAAAATATAAACTATATTTTCAAAGATATGCCACAGCATATGTTCAACCCACATAGCAAGCCAGAGCTATTACAGCTCGTACGAAAAAGTGTAACATTAACACAACAGCATGTTTAGTGCTCCAAAATAACATAAAAAACACGGAATATAAGAAATGCAGTTAAAAACATTAGCAAAAGTGAGACAACAAAGCTCCCTCACTCCTCCTACCTGCTACCTGGTAAAACTTTAGCAGCTGAGGAAGTGATACGATTTTTTGTAAACGAAAAACTTTACTCTCGTACCTAGTCGGGAATTTGCAACCATATTTTCCTTCTTATATCAAAAACCACTACGTCTAGCATAAAACAGTCCACAAAAGAGGAAACTGGATTTTTTCACGTAATGTTTTGAACAGAAAATAACCCAGCTTTTTTTTCTCCGACTTAAAAAAAAAAAAAAAAAAAAAAAAAACAAACACACACAAAAACACAGCTCACTTTTAAAAACACCAAAAATTTAGGAGTGAACGGAAATGAAGCAGCCCAAAACGTGATTGATTCAAATGAAATTAATGCCACATAATCCTCGTTTTATTCTTTCGTTTTCAACCGAATCAATTATGAAATATGCTCGCGTTGCGATGTTCTCTTTGCAAATGACTTTTAAACAGCGCCCATCAAAATCAAAGGGGCACTAATCAAAGGAAACTTGAAACAAAAAAAGTGATACAGAAATACTTCCCGCTTGTAATGGTTAAACAGAACAATCATCAAAAAGACAATGACAAAAACTCAACCGATTAAGTAGAAAAAACTGATTAAACTGCAAGGATAAAGAAGCGACTTCTTCACTCTTCGGAACACGACAATTTGCTTTTAGAAAATGTAAAACTGAGGCAGAACATCTTCCCAAATTCATCTTTTCCTAGGTACTTTTGTAAAGCGGGAAATATTTCTTGTTTAAATCGATGAGAAGGGAAACAAATAGTTGTGTGCACACAACAACCCATTCCATTTTTGTAACCAATTTTATGACACCCACCCATTTTCCTAATAATATATAGAAGAGAAAAAACAGAGAGAAAACCATAGAAACATTATTTTAGCAGACCGAACAGTATGCATCCGCACGCACCGTTTCCAGCTCAAAAAACAACGGCCTACTTACTTGCATGCAATCTTTTGCCGAGTAGTAGTAACAATTGCGCAAGCGCTTTTCGATAGTGTTCATATCCATTGGACGCTTGATCACCTTATGATAATCCTTAAAAAATCCAAAGTTATCGTTATTCCTTAACATGTCAAAGATTTGGATCCACCCAGCTCATAGTTTGAAAAGAAACCATAAAAAATGAATTAGCTCAAAAATTTACTCACAATGAAAAAAATGACGTACCGGTAATCCCAGACGTACAGCATCTACAGGCTTCATAAATGGCCAGGCGTGTTTATGACGCATCGCTGGTTTTAAAACTTCCTTCAACATGAATTCAAGTTGATTCGTATGCCGTGTAGGCTTACCTGGCGGTGGTATTACACGCGGCTGTACCACCCCATTAATTGCTTCCTAGAACATTTTGGGAATGCTTAACAATTAAGTAGAACTAACATGATTCAAATGACGCATGCAAAACTAATCAACCGTATCACCGTTTAATTAAATCGCGTGTGTGCAAGACAAGCACATTAAGTTAAATGATGAACCTGCCGTGGCGACTCCCAGCCATTTATTGATGGCACAGCTGTACCAACATCGGTAGCACTGTCGTCATTATCTCCATCATCGACATGCTGTTCCGAAGAGGCATCTTCGCCATTTTGCGATCCCTCAATTTGAATGTTTTCCGTGTCTACTGACGCTTTTTCATCCGATACAGATGGGTTTTCTGAGACCCCAAGGGTGCTGCCGCTAGTTGTTACTGGCTCATTACTGCTATTGTTCGCATTTGAAGTTGAAGCAGCAGAAAGAGACATTTCTGAAGGTTTCGAAAGTTAAAATGAAATCAACACAACAACATCGTTTATAGCGAAAAAAATAAAAATGCACAAAATCGAAACCCACCCATCCCACCTATTTTCTGATTCCAGATCTCCTGTTTTCAATGATGACCAAACAAATCTATGAAGTCTTTGTGCCCTAAAGTATTACCAACACGCGTAAGTCTTCTGCAAACACGTAATGCGTTACACCACGACCTCACACCGAGCTAAACTTATTACTAATATTCTACTCACCACATTCAAGATGACATAAATGCACGAAAACCATACTGGGATTTGATTTTCAGTAAAACGCACTACAGTCACCACACGATGCTTCACGTTACGAAGAGTGGGTTACAGGACTTTTTTCCTCCGTAATCCCGAAGTTCAAGCATGTTATTGAGGAACCATGTAATGATTTTACGCATACAGCAAACGAGAAAAAAAATGGTGGTGGAGAGATTTCGCACATGATTCCCGAAAAAGTCAGTCCGAAACATGCACGTCACGTCAAACGTGCAACAAATCCTACGCACGCATTATCTTTCCAGCAAAATTATGTTATATCGATCGACCTACAATGCTACCCATACGTCAACGCGCACGCGCACGCAGCACTCATCTCTTTCGCTTTCGCGACGCATTTGCCTGCAGTACACAAGAGTACGCCAAAAAGGTGCGTGGGCAGACTAACAGAGAACAAACAAAATAATGAACAACAGAGATGCACAGAAAAAGTCAATCTTTGTTACACTGCTAGCGCACTACGCATGCACTCTACTTTAGGCGAAATGGCGCGTCTGTTGCAAACAATACAAGCGGGCGATCGATCGATCGATATCTGGCAGTTTTGGGGACCGTCTCGTAAAATAATATGCTAATAAAATAGACACAAAGGAGAAACAGTTTCACTCATCATTATGCTTCATAAATTTTTATTTTCAATAAAAAAAAAAGCGTACAAATGCAACAAAAATAATGTCAGTTGTTAGTTTGTGATAAATTTTATTATAATATAATTTAACATATATTAGCCAAATAGGAATCAACAATCACATCAGTATAAGACATAACGTATAATTCACGTAAATGATCAACATAAAGCACGTCAAAATTGTATCACATTCGTGATGAACCTTACGCAAAAATGCGTGAATGACAAATGAAAAGATAAGTGCGCACACAGCAGAGAGCAGCCGACCTAACCAAGCGACAAACTGACAATGACTAACCCAACCGCCCAGCTCGTCAACCTCATATCACTCTAATCTGATTGGCTGTTGCCATAACAACTGAACAATACTCAGTTTTGTTATAAGCAAAAGCAGCAACAGACTACTGTATTGCGCTTCTTTCTTTTTTGATTTATATGAAATCTTTTTGTTTGGGCGGGCAATAACAGTAATGGTACCGCGGTAAGGCGGGGCAAACAGTTCTAATTGTTGGTATTTCCGGCAGCATATCTTATACAATGATGTTTCATTTGTGAAATTAAAAGAATAGAAAAGACATTAACTTGAACTGAGCTAGTAATATTTCCATTTTGATTTTAGCTGTTTCCTACTCTTTTCTGCTTTCAGAATTTGATTTTAGCTGTTTCCTACTCTTTTCTGCTTTCAGAATTTGATTTTAGCTGTTTCCTACTCTTTTCTGCTTTCAGAATATGATTTTAACTCAATTGATTCCTCGATATCTCAAAAGTATATTACCTTTTAACAGTAAGAAAAGATAAGATTTCTTTCAATCAACAAACGATCATTTCTTTCAGTAATACTTGTCTAAATTGCTATTCTTATTTTCCGATATCTTCAGTAATGCTATATATTCCTTCCTTCCTTCCTTCTTTTACAGTAACCCGCGACCATCCGTATCATTTGATGCACACTATTAGGAGACAGAAGGATGAAGTATTTTTCATAATGGTTTGTCATAATACTTTCGAGGCCGCATAAAACAAAGACGTGCGTTCTGGGCCGGGGTAAGAGACATAGGGTTGAATTGGTGACTTAAACTTCCATCTTCCATTTCATCTCAAGCCTATTTTTGGTTATTATCTTTTGGTATTTCAAATTTGTTGGTATTTCATGGCTATTTCGAAGTTATATCTAATTTTGAAATTTGTGAGCTGTTTTTTGTTTTGTTCGAAATAGTAATAATATTGTTTTCGAAAAAGATGGCGACCGTGGACAATGTACTAGTACGTGATGTGCTGAAAATGGAGCGAATCGGGGCACATTCTCATATTCGTGGCCTTGGATTATCTCCAAATTTGGAACCGGAACGAGTTTCTGAGGGTATGGTCGGTCAGATGGAAGCACGACGGGCTGCTGGGATTGTTGTGAAAATGATTCAGGCATTTAGTTTTTTTTTTTTTTTTTTTAACCTATAACCTCTTTCTCGAACAGAATAGCTTCTTGAGCAGATTAACAACCGAACTGTTGGAGACTTATTTCAGTCTCGTGGGATTAATTGGCTACATAATATGTCTTCAAACTTCAGACCAAGTAATGTTCGTTTTGCATATGTCAAAACTTTTATATTGTTAGCAGTTTTTTGTTTTCTAAAAAATAAAAGTCAAACTATTTTACATAGTGACAAATCAGTATGCTCTGTTTCAGGATGGGAAAATCTCAGGTCGAGCGGTGTTATTAACAGGTGAACCTGGTACTGGAAAAACAGCCATTGCAATGGGTTTGTCACAAGCCCTTGGTGAAGACACGCCATTTGTATCGATAACTGCTTCCGAAGTATTCTCGATGGAAATGAGCAAGACTGAGGCATTAATGCAAGCTTTTCGAAAGGCTATAGGTGTGCGAATCAAAGAAGAAACTGAGGTATTTTGTTATTGAGAACATAATTACTCTGTCACTGCTTTAATTCTTGTGTTTTTCTGCTTCTGCTTCCTTATGCTTTACATATTAAGATTATAGTCTAAATAATCTTTAGTCATACCGAATTCTGTTAACAGTGTAAAACAGTTTCATCAATATTCTATTTGTTTATCCAATTTTTGTTTTGGGTATTGGAAGGTGAAGTGGTAAGCATTGAAATTGATCGACCAGCAACTGGTGGTGGTGCAAAAGTGGGGAGGCTTACAATGAAGACAACAGATATGGAAACAATTTACGATCTTGGCAACAAAATGATTGAAGCATGTATAAAACAGAAAGTCGCGGCTGGCGATGTAGTGCAAATTGATAAAGCTTCAGGTTTTCTTTATTCTGCTTATGTAAATGTTTGAATGTTATGTTAGCTAAAGCTGAACGAGAAGGGTAACCATGAAAATTTTGTGGATGTACTTTTCGGATGTTGCAAATTTTATACAGTACGTACTAGTGCGTCTAATAAAATTTAAACGTATATGTTTTATGAGGTTGATTAAGTGTTGACTAACTAAAATTTGTTGAAGGTCGTATAACAAAGATTGGTAGATCATTTTCACGCACTTATGACTACGATGCTTTGGGTCCGCAAACAAAATCTGTGCGGTGTCCTGAAGGTGAAATCCAAAAACGCAAAGAAACTGTTCATACAGTAAGTTCGCCATTATTAATCTTTGTTATATATTAATGCAAAAATATCTGTAAATTTGTTTATCTGCATAATTCGTTAAAGTTTTGATATTTCTTGAGTGGTGATGCCCGGAATGCTGTATACTTTTCCATACATTACTAATTTTTGGAAGATTTTGGTTAATTGATATATGTGACTTCTGATTCCGGTTTTGCACATTTTTCATTTATAAATGGAAATTTATTTTAGGAAGTAGAAAGATAAATTTGTTCATTTTCAGATTGCATTACACGAAATTGATGTAATAAATTCACGAACGCAGGGGTTCTTGGCCTTATTTTCAGGGGACACTGGCGAAATAAAAAATGAAGTGAGAGAACAAATTAACAAGAAGGTAAGAAAATTGAATCTCGAGATATCAATATCACAATTTATTTTCTTTCAAATTGGCAACGCTGTTTACTGAGAAATTTTGGAATTTTAATATCTTCGAAATTTATTTCTTCATTTGGTTTTTCGAGACTTCTATTTCGTTATTGCAGTAACTTAGTTGTGCATGTGACTACCTGTAGAATCAGTCATGTTTCAGGTAGTCGAATGGCGGGAGGAAAATAAAGCAGATGTTGTTCCTGGTGTTTTGTTTATTGATGAGGCACATATGCTAGATTTGGAATGCTTTTCATTCTTGAACAGGGCCATTGAATCCGATCTTTCTCCCATTCTTGTAATAGCAACCAATAAAGGACATGAATATATTCGTGGAACACAAATCAAAAGTCCTCATGGAATTCCAATTGATCTTTTAGATAGGTAGTTTACAATTCATTCCATGACATTCTCCATTGATTTCATTTGAACTTCATCTCGTGTTATCAGAAGTAAAATGAAGACGCAAGTATTAGAATTTTATTGCAATTTTAGATCATTAATAATCCGAACAAAACCGTATTCGAGCAAAGATATTGAAGATATTTTGCGCATCCGTGCACAAGAAGAATCTGTGGAAATGGAAGCAGATGCGTTTGGCATATTAACCTTACTGGCTGGTAAAACCTCGCTGCGATATGCTATGCAACTGATTTCAACTGGGAATATTTTACGTGAACGAAGACGTGGTGAAAAGGTGTCCTTACTTATCTAATACAATATCTTTAATATTTCAGAATTGAGTTCACATGGTTAGAATCTTACGTTTATGTAACTTACATGAAATATGCAATTTGGTTTTTGAACTTATGGAAGCTACTTCCAGGTGTCACCGGCAGATCTCAAACGAGCTTATTCTTTATTTATGGATCATAAAAGGAGCGAAAAGTTCTTGAACGATTATCAGAAACACTTCATCAACGACTAAGTTTCTGCTCAATTGTTGAGAATCTTGTCGATCATTTCTGTTACTTTGATGGCGGATAAGTGTGACTTTGCATTATTCGGGTCTGTTCTGTAGCAACCTTCGCAATTGTCTCAAAAAAAGAAGCAATCTATCAATTCATTTTGTTCACTTTATTTTCTCATGATGTCCTAAATAATTGTTTTGTCCATAAATTGGTATCCTTTTCCATCAATCGCTCAGAATCTTGGTAATCATACTATCCACAACAGCGTGACCAGAGGAACACGGGAAGTAGTTTAGAAATCTTCATCAGTACTGTTGTTCAGTTTGAGCTGCTGACGTTTTCTTTGGTTCAATGGGAAAAATTACAACTTAGCTACTTCACTTTGTACTCATTGCGCTGTACAGAATAGCAAAGGCAACTGAATCAATCCGCAAAAAAAAATGTAGTTCTGCTTGATGTTACATTCTGTGGTATACATCCTTTTTTTTTTTGCAATACATCAATTACTCTTAAACAGACAACATATACGAGCTAAAAAAAAGTACATGCCGTGTTTAAGACGATAACAACCGAATTGCTCTTCACCAAAAATTTATCCGCTAAATAAGGAAATCCCTAGACAACCAAGACGTTGTCGGACTGCACCCAGTAGATTCAAATCTTTTACACCTATGGAGAAACAGCTAAAGAGTGACTGCAAGCTGGAAAAACTAAAAACCGTCTCAGCTTCAACTTTCTGTTTTCACGATAGGGGATGGAGAAGTAAACGAGAAGGGACTTCGCAATTTGCGATTATAATTGGTCCTCCTCAAGTTTACTTTGGGAAATGTATAAAAAATTACGGTTTGTGAATACAACTACTGTTCTCTAAACACGGCAGATTTTGTACACTGGACAATAGAATGAAGAAGAAGCACCCGCCTGAGTGAGCAAGCAAAGATAATCCGTGACAACAGTGTACACATAAGTTGAAACTCAAATAAGTGAACCAATGAGATCGATGAAAAAACAAACATTAGTAAGCAAGAAACATCATACTAAAGTCAATAAAAACTTATCCTTGTTAGTGCTTCCTTATGTTTTAGCAAGCTAAGAATGGATTTTTGACATGCAAATAATCGTATGTTCAGAATCTGTAGCTAAAACAAAGTCCTCTCTCCTTCACACTTTTAAGGTAAGCTAAATCAACATAAATCTCACAAGTAATACGTCTTAATTACAAATCTTCATTGATCGGAGCGTCCGGCAACATTTCATCTAACTGTTTGGTTATAAGATCTATTAGTGCTTTCCTTCGAAATCGCCTAGCTTCACGCAATGCGTAACGTAAGCATATCCTACGATCCACAATACAAAGATCTTCCATTTCGGTGCTTTGCAATGACATCACTTTTTCCGCTGAAAAAAAAAAAAAAAAAGAATAAAAAAAATAACCGTGTTTGAAATATTACGACTGAAAAGAACGCAATATTTCTACGATACCTATATTTAACCATAACATGGTTTAACAATCTATCCCAAGTGAAAGCTCTTTCAAACTTCGACTGTTGACGGGAAATAATGAGAAATCTAACGATGAAGTTCTCTTTGTAAAGATGGTCTCCAACCTGAACCGGTGGAACGTGAACGGACTTCTTCAATAGTTAATTCAATTTTCTAACTTGGATGAAGTTACTAACTGTGTTAGAATTTTGCATAATAGTGATTATGAAGTAAATATTATATGCGATAGGGAAAAACATCTGGAACAAAGCAAATAATGAGATGTTAAAATTATGTGAACAATACCGTTTGCAAGCTTTCTAACAAATTTGCCCAAAAGCAATTTTTTCTCATTCAGTGCCGACTCTTCTAAGCGTGATGCACCATCTAAACGTGATTTTTTCTCCACTGGTGAAAATTCAGACCATTCAGATCTTTTCAATAACTTTTCATGTACATCACCATTCAATGTATGCTCAAGATTACCATTTAAAGCTGATGTAGACTGTCTACAACCTGAACCAGTAACTTTTTCTGAAAATATTTGAGTAAACAGATGTTGAAGACATACTTATCTCCCATAAATCTACAAGTCTAGCAAAATTTGATTTTCCAACTGGCATGAAGTTGCTAACTATGCTAGAATTTCGATAATCGTGACTACGAAATAATACATGCAATAAAACAAGGAAAAAGACAAGCTGAAGAAAAACAAAGCTAAACAACCACATTATCAATTCAAAGATGTGGTGATGTGGAAAAGAGATGAAAAAATGATGCAGCAAACTCACGAGTATCTTCGGAAGAGAGATCAGAACTGAGAGAAGCTAAGTCGAGATCGGATAAAGCTGATGAACTTGAGGATGTACTATGTCTCCGTCGTCGCCTATAATTGAAAAATAATGTCGCATTCTTACACTGTTTCAGAAAAAATAAAGCAACAAATTTCCTCAGCATATTGAATAATTTAGAAAATTTTCATAACGTTTTGCAGAAATTAAAACACACAAAAAGATTAAATATAATAAGGCGTTTACCGCCATCGAGACAAGGAATCGGCTGCTAAGGGCCCCGCTTTTCGTCGTGGCGGGCGACTGCTATCTGAACTTGAAACATTTGAACCAGTCGAAGACAACCGTTTTTTTGAAGTTTCCATTTTTGGAGAAGTTCCCAGTAAGTTTCCTTCACCAACTTCATCCACCGTCATAGTTTTCTGCAACATAAAACATTCACTAAAAAATCTAATTTAAGTATTGTAAACACATATCATTCAACACTGAAATGCATATTTTATGGAAATTTCACATGGCTTTTTTTTAAAAAAAATTTTTCAAAAGAACGCACCTTATCAATTTTAAAAGGGTTCCCGAACGCATGTACACGGATTGCTTGAGGTTCAACTTCTCTAAGTGGACCACGTCCTACAGCCTCAAGACTCTTGATATATTCCTGATAATTCCCCATCTGACCAATGGGAAGATTATGCAAATCCTCTACAAATAAAAGTAAATACAACACGAAGTATTTCAGCTTGAAAATGGGAAATATTAGAAACAACAAAACAAACCCGCATGTTGCAATTTTATACTAGTGCCAGGTCGACCACCTTCAAATATTGGTATCTGCCCTACATTGAGCTGTTGCATTAAATTGATTCGCATTTTCTGCACTTGCTCGAAAAGTTTACCCCGTCTAATTTCAAATGGATTTCGAAATTGTAACGATGGAGCAATCAATATTTTGGGGATCTCAACTTGTACCTATAATAAGCTGAATGGTTGACCGATACACTCATCTGGTCTTCACAGTAATGATCATAACTGATCTTCATGCCTACTATGATTACGGTGACAAAACCTAGTAAACAAAAAGGCCTCAAGATGAAAAACAACGCACACACACACACACCAACAAAAAGTTAAAAAAAAAAGAACCTGGAATCCATGAAAATTTTCCATATCACTACTATATCCAGAGATCCTTTTCATGCCTCTACCATTGCAGAGACGTGTACGCTTCTGAACGCCAATCTAAAATTACAGCATGAACGATTGTTCCGATAGAGTAATTGGCTTTATACATTTTTATAATTATGTTTAAAACAAACCAATGATACAAGAGGAGGCGAAATTTGTAACGATGCTGCCACGGTACTACATAGCGATTCAAATTCTTCACGAGCCATATGCTTCACTTTCGCAATATAAGACAATATATTATACGAATACTGCTGCATTTGGTCAGGTTCCAACATGGGATGTGAGATACTTAATCGAGTGAATGCCTTTTTTAGTGGCTAAAGCAAAATTTCAATTTTAAAATCATAGAAAAAACAAATATAGAAATACTCTCCCCAAGTTCATTTAAATTATAAAGTCTTTGGAAATACTAAAATCCTAACTCAAGTCCACACACAATCATGCAGTACTTTTTCATTCCTAAATAGAGAGTTCAACTTAATTCTACTATTATCCTATATCTTCCCGACCATTGAACCATATGAAAACAGTCACTGGTTGTAAAACACTATCAGAGAGTGATAATTCTGGCCGCAAAAATAATATTTACTTGTACATAGTAACTTGGAACTGTGGCCAAATATTTTTCCAAACGCAATCGCCAGGAATGGCTATTTTTTGCTTTCGAGTCCATCTTCATTTCCTCAATTAGCGGAAGCAGAAGCGGATAATTGTAAGGCATTATAAATAAATTTACACATGATAAATTGGTGGCCGCTTTGAGGTATCCGAAAGGAGCCGGTGAACTCCCGAGTACACTTGAATTATGGACAAAAACCTGAAATTTTCATTAATTTAAACAAAAAACAAATTCAATGGCCACGATTTGTTATGATATAAATGAGACAAGGTGTATACGAATCTTCTAAAACAAATTCCCTTTGCTAATAACTAAATGAGCTAGCTTTAATTACTTACTCGTTAAGCCCCATTGGTTTTAATACCTTGTCTTGAAGTAACTAAGATGCCCACCTTCTGAACTCAGTGAGACTCATAAAATATATTCCGTACAAACAATGAGGATGGTTAAAGAAGCCGACGAAACTTTCGAGTTTCAGGCCTAAAAAAGTCATAATCTTGTCAAAAGAACATCACAACAATTGAAAAAAAAAAAAAAAAAAGGAAATTATACCTGCCAACAGACTCCAGGTTGTTTACGCTCTAATATAAACCTTGTTAAAGGTGAAGGCTCAAGCTCATATTTATCAAATGGGAAATCCTGACAAACAAGAGGTTCACTAGATTCACAACGAAATGAGATCACTGGATGAGCTTTTCGTGGCGGCAAACTTATCCTGCAACTGAATGTATAAAAAAAAGAAAAGACTAAATTTAGTCAGTGCTGAAGAATGAATAGAACATCGTGAAAATTTCTCCCAAAGCAAGAATATGCAATAAGATATTGAGCAATGTCTTAAAGTTGTAAATCAAAAAAAAAAAAAAAAATACATGCTGCGATCGGGCCAAAACGCCTCTGGAATGGGCCAGTGTCCCGGATATGATCGTGATGCACGTGA